GTTAAAAGCCAAAAACAATTATTAATAAAAAATCATGCATCAGGTACTATAATCAATTAAAACACATCCCAGGGATTTAGTGTTTTAACGCCATGGAATACCATTAACATTTTCATTTTTTTGTGATTTTTAATAATTTATAATGCACGATAAATTGTAAGTGCATTAATGTGTATGAAGCTACGATATTAGGGCGATACTAGCCGGTGGTAACAGCTATTATATTGACTATTTAAGCAGTAGGAAATGATACGACACATATACATGCATTACTGAAGTGTACACGCGAGTACAGCCAGCTAATACACAAGACTCTTTTTGATTTTTTGTTCTGTTTAATAACAGAAAGCATCGGATTCATGTTTCAATTTAGACCCGGTACTGACTATATGGTATAAAAATAAGAAGATGTGGTATGATTGCCAATGCGGCAAATCTCCATCCAAGTCACAATGTATATCAGGTTACCAATTATAGGTCAAAGTAAGGCCTTCAACACGGAGTCTTGGTTCACACCGAACAGCAAGCTATAAAGGACCCCAAAATGACTAGGGTAAAACAATTCAAACAGGAAAACCAACAGCCTAATCTATATAAAAAAAAAAAAAAAAACGAGAAACACTTATGAACCACACCAACAAACGACAACCACTGAACAACAGGCTCCATACAAATGCAGCGGATTTAAACGTTTTAACAGGCACCAACCTTCACCCTAACCTGAAACAGTAGTGTTACATTTACAGCATAAAAAGACAAACTATAAAGTATCAATTGAAATGGCTTAATCGATCAAAAAGACATATAAACAAAAACAAGTAAACATACTCTTAACGAATAAGTTGGATCTATGACACAATATAGATACAATATTAATAAAAGAAAAAGATGTAGGAACAATGTCAAAAAGACAACTCTAACCTAGGAAAAATGGCTTTAAATAAAATAACGTACACAGGCAGATTTAAATATAATAATTTTATTGTTAGATGTACGGAAACATTTTTTACAAAATAAGTAAATTTGTTGTTCACAGTCCGAGTACATAAGTGAAAATTTATCGTCATACTAAATACTTATCAAAGGTAGTAGATATTAAAAATATAGTGAGACGAGATATAACATAAAATAAGTAAACATTGAATAACAGAAATGCATTACAAATTGTGTCAACAGGTCAAATTAACAAGAGAGTACGATTTGAGAGTACTCGCAGTTACTGAAAGCTAGTTAAAAGCCAAAAACAATTAATAATATAAAATCATGCATCAGAGACTTAAATCAATTAAAACACATCCCAGGGATTTAGTGTTTTAACGCCATGGAATACCATTAACATTTTCATTTTTTTGTGAGTTTTAATAATTTATAATGCACGATAAATTGTAAGTGCATTAATGTGTATGAAGCTATGATATTAGGCGATACTAGCCGGTGGTAACAGCTATTATATTGACTATTTAAGCAGTAGGAAATGATACGACTCATATACATGCATTACTGAAGTGTACACACGAGTACAGCCAGCTAATACACAAGACTCCTTTTGGTTTTTTGTTCTGTTTAATAACAGAAAGCATCGGATTCATGTTTTAATTTAAACCCGGTACTGACTATATGATATAAAAATAAGATGTGGTATGATTGCCAATGAGGCAACTCTCCACCAGAGACCAAATGACGTAGAAGTTAACAACTATATGTCACTGTACGGCTTTCAACAGTGGGCAAAATTCGGCATACCGCATGGTAAGCTTGAAAGACCCCGAAATGTCAAATGTAAAACAATTAAAACGAGAAAAACAAACAATGTATGTACAAACCAAAAAATTAAAAACAAATATGATATACAGCAACTAACAACAATCACTGAATTACAGGCTCCTGAAAGTCTACATAAATAAATAATTGTAGTCAATTAATGAGAAAATCTTTACAATTATCGCTTTTTTATTTCTCTCTCAATTTGTTCGTTCGTTGAATATTGAATTCGTTATAAACTAAATTTCTACAAAAATTCTTACTTACCCAATGAAAAGAAATGTACAGCAGAAAAAGAAACAAATAAAAACAAACGCAATTTTCTTTGTCATCATTACAAAGGTGTAAACATGTTGTGTTAAATTGATATAATCAAATGTGATTAACCATTTCAATATCTTTATCAATATTTGTTGTAGGTAAATCAAAGATTATAAATTGTACATTTCACGTCACGTAGACTTGTGATTTCATCAGACCCTGGTACATGTAGTTTCCAAATTGACGCATCGCCATACTTCATTGATATTTTGGACATCAGTTGGTAGACAACCTTTGCAGTTGGATACGTTAAGCAAACAACTTCCAATACTGTACTAACTTATGATCTCTTCTGTCTGTATTAGGTTTAGGTTTTTAAAATGTTTTGGCCTGAAGATCACTGAAGAGACATTAGTTGTCGAAATACTGGTGTAGTAATTTTGGTACCGTTAATGCCATTATGTATATAAATGAAAGTTTTCATTTTATCGTCACATGTTTTTGGTCGATAATTGGGGCAATATGTTTATTTTTTTGGTCTCAAAAGTTTTGTGTTTTTAATATGTGTTGTTATCTTTTTATTTTTATCTTTTAAGTTTTGCTAATATGGATCACCATGGTTCTGATTTTTTGTGTGTATTTCGTTCATACAACTACTTCGAGTTAAAAAAAATGTAAATTTATAAATATTATACCAGGTTGCAAGTGTGTGTGTTGTGTCGAATATTTAAAGCTGGGATTCGTATTTAATTGCCTATGTTTATAGGACAAAACGGAAACCAAAAATACTTTGTTCGCAGTGAATGCTATTTTAACTGTCATTTATTAGAATTCCGTACTATTAAGGAACTGTACAAAAAATAATAGATGAATGATAATTAATATAAATAAGAAGATGTGGTATGAGTGCCAATGAGACAACTCTCCATCCAAGTCACAATGTATAAAAAGTTAACAATTATAGGTCAAATTACGGCCTTCAACACGGAGCCTTGGCTCATACCGAACAGCAAGCTATAAAGAGCCCCAAATGACTAGTGTGAAACAATTCAAACAGGAAAACCATTGGTCTAATCTATATGAAAAACGAGAAACGAGAAACACCTATGAACCACACCAACAAGCGACAACCACTGAACAACAGGCTCTTGACGTAGGACAGGTGCATAAAAATGCAGCGGATTTGAACGTTTTAGCAGGCGCCAACCTTCACCCTAACCTGAGACAGTAGTGTAACATTACAACATGAAAGGACACACTATAAAATATCAATTGAAACGGCTTAACTCGATCAAAAAGACATTTAAACAAAAACAAGTAAACATATATTGAACGAATAAGTTGGATCTATGACACACTATAAATACAATATTAAAACGTAGGTGCCTATATAACATAGACGTTACAGGTAGTAATAAAAAATATGTAGGAAAGTGTCAAAAAGACAACTCTAAACTTGGAAAAAACAACGTACACAGGTAAATTTAAATATAATAATTTTGTTGTTAGAAGTACGGAAGTAAACATTTTCTACACAATTAATAAATTTGTTGTTCAGAGTACGAGTACAGAAGTGAAAATTTATCGTCATACTAAATACTTATTAAAAGATGGTACATATTAGAAATAGTGAGACGAGATATAACACAAAATAAGTAAATATTGAATTACAGAAATGCATTACAAATTGTGTCAACAGGTCAAATTAACACGAAAGTACGATTTGAGAATACTCGCAGTTACCGAAAGCTAGTTAAAAGCCAAAAACAATTAACAATAAAAAATCATGCATCAGAGATCAGAGACTAAAATTAATTAAAACACATCCCAGGGATTTAGTGTTTTAACGCCATGGACAGTCAAAGAAACAAGACTTGTGAAATGCAAAAAAATAAAAGTACGGACAGGTAGTAGGATAGTTAGGATTTAACCGTATAATAAATATGTATCATGTTATATATAGATACAGCAATCTCTAAATAGAAAATAAACGTGGATGTGTATTTATACATCCCAAAAACCATTCGAAAAGAAACAAGTTTTATTTTTCCAATGTTTCTTTTGTTGATAGTGGAGGAGTTCATGCCTATTCTGTTTATATTTTTTCATCAATAAGTATTTTTGTGTCTTTGGTTACCAATTCAGTAACTTTATATTTTCTAAAAATATCAAGATAAAAGTTTGATAAGCTCTGCAGTACTTCATTTGTAGTCAGGCAACGAACGAAATCATTCAGGAAGTTGGGATAAAAGGGTATCAAGGTTCAGTTTTTTAACCTATTTATAATTAAATATCTCGGATGGATTATGTTTAACGTAGGTATACGTACGGACGTTTAAAAATCTTGCTGATATTGACAGTGTCCAAATAAGTGAACTTATAAAATAACACATATAAAGGATAACAGGCATATACCTAGAGTATTGGACAGTACAACTGTAACCACCATTACTAGCATCCAAATCCTCCCGAAAAATATACGTACAAACAAAGATGAACAACAAGAAACAACACTTGGTCCTGATAGCCTGACCTGGAACAGGCTCAACATATGTGATGTTAAACAAGTTTTACGTGCGAATATCGCGGATTTCAAAAACCTATGCTAAGCAATATCAATGATAATGGTCACATATCAATATTGTGCAGACGAAACTTCTCCTGCAAAGTTATTTTCCTCTATAAAACATGTAAATTGATTTGAAATCGGGACTTCGAGAAAAGGTTCATACGGATGCTAAGAATGTCTATAGGTTCAGCATAGTTTTAAATAAGGACAACCTACTATATATATAGTCGCATAGTTGACGACTAGTCAATGGTTTTTAACTCTAGTGAAAGATTTTGCACTTTTAATGCAAGCTGTAACTTGGTGAAATTAATCATAATGTCCGCAATTGAATTCAAAATTTATTAAGATTTTGTGTTTTAATTCAATTTATAATAAATGATGATATTTATATTTTGTTTCTAAATAGTGTACATGTCAATAACGTAATACTGTGTAAAACAAACAAAGTCAGAACTAACATATTTAGGAACAAAAAAAACGGTGTGAGAATATAAATTAAATATTGTAATGCATGTACCGAAACATATATAGATGAAGTAAAATTAATTTTGATATTACATTTTTCAAATAAAAATCAAACGAATCATATAAATTTGTAACTGTTAATTTTTATTGTTCATGGAAATTCCCGGTTTCTTGGATCTGTATAATGGTTTTTATACTTGTTTGCAAATGTGTCTGCCATTAAAGTCACAGTTCCCGCTATATGATGCATCAGAAATCAAAGCATTTGACGTTTTAATTTAAAATGTGATTGTTGCATGCAGTCAGAAGATTATTCGGAGCTAGATCTAGGGTCAATTGGAGCAATTTCAGGTAAATGATCCAAAGTGTAAATATGTCTATTGATATTGGGTTCGTTGTTAATATTACTCTGTTCTGAAATTGAAACAGATAATTCACTGCAACCTGGGGCTTGATTATTGTCCTCGTAACTTGGTGGACTATCCTGTGGTGTGTATTCTGGTAATTTGGAATTTTCGATAACATCATACGGCGGTGGTTCATTGTTATACACTGTAAATATCGAAGAATTGTAATTTTGTATATTGGTCGCACTTCCTCGAATGTTCCTTCGCAAGCGACCTCGTAAATTTCGGCGGGCTTTACAAACTCGAAACATGGCGAATGACATAACAGCAAGAACAATGAATAATAAACCGACAACTGTGGCACCTGTAATCAAATATAGACACGATTCATAATAATAAACTAACAGTGGCACCTGTAATAAAATATAGACACGATTCATAATTATAAACTAACAGTGGGACCTGTAATCAAATATAGTTACGATTCATTTTACGATAACAAATTATGAAAGTTTTATACAACTAGACATTTGTAAAAATAAAGTTGACACGACATAGGTGTTTTCATTTGCATGAACATCTTTTGTTGCGTTCTTATTCAAAGTAAGATTTTTAAGATTTGCAAAAAAATGTGACTGATTTCTGCCATTTTCGTTTGTATTAAGTTTTCCATGTTTGTAGGTTGTTTAGGTTTGTTGTTCGTTGTTTATTTTACATTTTTTTTTCAACTGAATATGTTCTTTTTTTTATAAAATTTTATATACCAATTATCTTCGTACGACACAAACTTCTTCAAAGACTTTTTTGTGCAAAATTACATGATCATGATGATTGTTTTTCCTTCTGTGTTGATGAATTAAAATACAATATATAATCATTACAACTATTAATCTTATAACAGAATACAAAGTTATCTTTGTTTAAATTTAAGCGTTTAATGCCCTTTCTCAGGTATTAGTCTGCTGTTTTTAAGTAGATTCTCACATGTCGGTTTTGTCTTTTGATGGTCTTGTTATATAAATTTCCATTTATAAGTCTTTTGTAGACGAAACGCGCGTCTGGCGTACAAAATTTAAATCCTGGTTTACATGATGAGTTTGATTTTCTACATTTTTACACGTTAGTTTTAAATTGTTGTTCCTTATAATCTTTTAATATACGTAGTTAATGTTTTTGTTGTTTTGGAGAGTATGAAATGATTGGCGGATTTGGATAGTTTCTATTTAATTTATTCATATTCTTTTATAACTCGATTGAGGCGATTTAGAGCTCGACATATTTTGATGACACCTCTTTATAGTTGAAGTCTATACATGCACTCTCTTGATGCCCTTTGCTATTTGCGTTGATAAGTTGCTGTATCGTGGACGTATATCAAAATATTGTATATTCATTTCGTTTTTATAGAAAAAATCAGCATACTTATAACAGTTGGAACGCTAGTACGATCAACTTCCATGTCGGGCATTGGCAGGGAATCTGAAATAAAAATGTTACTAAGTTCACGTTAATATGCAAGAAAATTGATTAACACATTACTACATAAACTAGGGACAAATTCTTAATCCAAGATTACCTAGAGGTATCTATTAGTTTACAATTTTAAATTGGGTTATTATTTTTTCCTAAGAAATCAGTTTATTTTTTTTATTCATTTGTTGAAAGTTCGTCATCTTTACAAATCTGTAATAGAGGAGGGAAATAGATATAAGAAGATGTGGTATGAGTGCCAATGAGACAACTCTCCATCCAAGTCGAAATTTATAAAAGTAAACCATGAATGTTTGTTCCATCACAATAGGAATAGAAATGGAATGCGCAATCACAATACCTCTTTTAAATCTGAAAAACATTCCATTCAAATATTTTTTTATACTTTGATCCATACTAAGAAGGATAATATGGATCTATATGTCTAAGAGATACGTGTTTGTGTGCACTGATCATGAATATAAGTTATCTTCTGATTATCGTCTGTTTAAAAATACAATTTCATGACTGTCATCATAATTAGGTTGACCGTTATGGACATATATCATGTGTCTTTGGTAATATTTAGCTCTCGAGGACCAAAACTTGCTGTTATACCCTTTTACTCATTCAATTAATATACAATGCTGAGCTTTAGTCTATAAAGGGGTTATAATTAAATGTTTTATACAAATGTATGACTATATATGACATATTTCAAAAAACAATTAACTTTGATCATAACTCGGACTTGAATTTGACATGTAGAAAATTTCGATGCATTGCATATTTTATTTGGACGTTTACAAGTATGTGTGTGCAAATTTTGTTATCTATTCTCTTTAAATTACTCATTATAGCATGTGTTTAGCTTTTAATCTGATCATCAACACACAAAAATAGAGCTGGAATTGAACTGAGTTGAAACAATATTTTAGTAAAATGCTAATACAATGAAAACATAATATCAGATTCATTCGTATTTTTTTTTTTTCTTCAACCAAACGTTGTTTAAATATACTTTTAAAATAAAAATATTGGCTTAATAAAAAATGCTATACATACATATATTGACTGTACAGCGATGTTCTGAGTCTTCTTTCCAGCCATCACAACACTGTGGTGTACACATTGATTGATATGGCAAACATAATGTCCGATTAACCTTGCAAAGCATCTGACCATTTCTATATATAAATTATAAAATTATTATACATTTCTTGATTTAAACAATATATATGTTAATCTCGATCTCTCCCTCCCGATATCTATTTAAGTGAGATACGAAAGTGCGTATTTTCAGATTTAATGTCAAATATATAGATCACATTTAGCAGAATGTTTTTCTATCATATTCCCATGTCGTTATGGAAGCACATCTTTGTCTGAATTCTGGCCTTTGTAATTTTCTTATGCCTTTATATGTATAAAAATATCAATTAATGTTTCCTCGTATAATTGCTTAGCCGGCCTAACGGAGAATCTCAGATAATCCCGTTTTAGTAGGATTCTTGTGTTTTGAGGACATTTTTTTTTTTGTCTTTTCGTCGTTTCAATTTTGGACTTAGTGTTGCCTGCTTTTCTTATAATAATATATCTGCTCCCCCCTTTTATATCCATACAAAGTACCGCCATGGCCTGTTCAATTGTATTTTCTCAATAACTTTGGATGTATACAGATTTCATATGTGCATCAGTATTTATGGATAAACAAACTTCAATAAAGTTAATATTCATCGCTCTTTATCAGAATTTTCTGTGGTTAAAAACATTTCTAAATCATTAGAAATTTTATTTCATAGCTTAATTGTATGACAGCTGCCCTCTGGTTACTTATTTCAAATATCTGAGCTTTCATACTTATTTCAATGTACAATTTTGTTGTACGCTTATTTTTATCTGAATAACATACAGTAAGAATGCTATTATGTTTTGTGTTCTACACGTCAGTAAGACTTACTCGCAACCTAATACCAAATGTGTAAATAAGTAGCATCTTCTCCCTCCTGGAATTATCTTATCACAGCGGTTAGCATCGGTGTTCTTTTCATCACTACAGCTTGTCGTATTTGCCCTGAAAATAGAATAAATAGTAGAAAAGGTGCATTCGAAGCGCTATCCGGCATTATTTTTTCACCTGTCAATGAGGTCAGTTTTGCCGGAAGGAATATTTTTTTAGTACAAATTCACCAACTTAGATCATAGACATGTTTGAAAACATCATGAATGACATTTAGTTCTTAATATCATTTTGATATCATTTTAGTGTACCATTTATTTTACATGACTTCATTTATCACTTCTCGTGAAATTTCCTTTACTGATTGTGTTTGTACTTTCCTAAGGGTATGTAAAATAACAAGCTATGTTATGATTATCAAGGAGACAAGAGGACAAAGATATGAACCTTTAGATATCACCACACGGCTTTCAATAATGTTCAAAACTCATACCGTATATTAAGCTATAAAAGGTCCCGGTACATGATTGACCAAATTTCATATTAATAAAATGGAAACCAAAAGCCGAATTTTACTGCAACAATGAATTGGGAAAAAATGTGGAACTTGGAAATGAGAAATGTAAACTTGTAAGTGAGAAATGTCAATTTGGAACTAAGAAATATCAAGTTGGAACTGAGAAATGTCAACTTGGAATTCAGAAAAGTCAACTTAGCGATGAGACATGTCAACTTTGGAATGAGACATGTCTTCCCTAGTTTAAATTGAGATATTTTAACAACAGAATGTCCCTACCAGTCGTTAGTGCATGTAACTAAAGTTAAAAGGTCCCCTTTAAATTCCTAATTTCTTAATTATAGAAATATTTTCTGAAATATTTTTGTGCCTTTGTTTATGACGAAGACCATCATCAAAATCCAGAAAAAGACGGTCATGTGTAGTTCAAACCATGTTTTCCGTAACGGACAGCCAAAGTGTATGTTGACAATAAAATTACAAGCTGAGTTCATTAAAAGGTAATATTTTAAAGCTCGATGAATGGTTGAATATTAAACTTTTTAGCAATCTTATCTCATAATGTTTGTACACACCACATGTGGTATTTAAGTGTAGCGTCGCTGTATATATTTTTTGTGCAAAATACATACAGATAAAGTGAAAAAATGTTTTAAATGTTAGATTGATTTATTTTTCTTCAAGTAAATAGCCTTCATCACGCTGACAGTGTATGATCATTATGTTATGTATAAAGATAGTCAAATTTAACTTGACCTTGACGAAATCACACATCAAACCCATTTTTTTAAGATAACTAAAATCAATATATAACCTAAACCTAAACGAAATATTCTAAATATCAAGGAAGTTACAATATGTACGTCATTTGGTCTCTGGTTGATAGTTGTCTCATCGGTTATCACATCAAATCCTCTAATTGTATAACTATTTCAAAATTAAGCTAGAAAATACTCTACGGTCACAAGAAATTAAACCCCTAAGAAATGCTGCCTTTCTCGTCCTATTTTCATTTTCTTTATATATATTTAATTCCATTATCTGTAAATTTTTACAGTTCTATGATGATATTTGAAGCGTAATTTCTCATTTAAATTTCTTAAAACGAATTACTTAATATTTTATCCTTTGACCACTTGGTGGCTTATGTATGCAGATGTACGCAGGCGTGCATTATCTTTGAGAAAAATCATGACTGCTAAATTAGCTTAACCTTTTGTCGAAATATGTACAAAAAAGCGAGGTAAATTATATATATGTATGTAGAACATATACTGATAAAATGCTTTATTCAGATAACATGCATCTCCTTTCTTTTCTGTATGTAGATAAACTAGTTTAGTTGATACACACACACACGTTACAGGTAGTAACTGAGGAGGACACATACTTGATAATCTTGATCTTTATACATGTAGAATGACTAGGACTGTGAGTAATTAGAAGGAGGAAAATTGAGGAATAAACTGAAAAAATGAACTTTTTATGTTTTTCTCATTCCATTGAATATGGTTTGAATATTAAGATTTTTGTCATCTTTCTAACTGCTATCAAAAGCTTACTTTTATTTATGCATCTGGGTTTTTTTTTTCGAAGAGCAGTCATAGGAAAGCAAAACGATTCCGAAGATCGTATGTTCTCTTAACCTAATATCATATTATTAACCTCTAAACATGCAATCACAAGAGTAAAAACCATATCATTACTTTCACAATTTGACTTCATGGCATAAATTCCCGACGTTACCCAAAGAATACTGATTGATAAGAAAACGATTTTACAGAAGTATAACAAGTTATCGCAAGGTTCGTATACTTTACTTTTCGTGTATTCATAGATCATTGACTCTCATTTTTTTATTATATGAAAGTTCCTAGAAATACCTTTCGGTATTTTCATTATATTCTAACATATGATCTCGGGTGGTTTCATTCAAAACAAAAGTATCAGACATTTTAAATGTAAAATTAAACGTAAAACTGAAATAGATATTGACATGCACTTTATACATATGAACGTGAAGGTAAATCTAGAAAAGCGCTTCGGAGGCATCATAGCACTATGTTGGTGTATTGTTAGTCACCGAGGGTACATCAGCTCAGTAGTCAGTGTGCATTTGTGCTAACACAATTCATAACGTACTTTTCGTAAAATCTCTGTTGATTTTAGTATATTTTTTTTTAATAAACTAAGGTTCCAACTCTCTCGTGCAAAGTTGACCTTAGATGAATTTTGCTTTTCCATTAGGTCCCTTTTTGGTCATAAAACTTATGTATTCGTGTACTTTTACATCCTTGACTTTCAAATATTAAGGTTTGATTTTTCCTGATGAAAATCCAGAAAGCGCTTCTGACCACTAAATGTATATCCAAGTTTACGATATAGACAATTTCTACACTTTTCCATTTTTATAGAATATATATGTTTGTTGTCTACCAAAATGAATCTTTTTTTTTTATTATGAACTCTAATGAGAACGTGTACAGATTTCTGGTTTACATTCGCGGTTATTTAATTTCTAACAGAAATATCATTAAGATGAAGACAGTCTTTTTAATGTATGGACACTGATACGTCCAAATTTCACGTAAGACGTTAATTGATAAGACGCAATACACTAAACACTTACAGTGTACCGATTATACATACCTTGAATTTTGCCATGATTAATTTAATTGTTTGGAAAGCAGTACAATTGAGACAACCAACTAACGGGTGTTCTTGAAAAAAAAGGTTGAAAAAATGTAGCGAAATTTTATGAAGGAATTCATGTTTTTATGTGTACTTACCCTGAATATAACGACAAAGAACATAAGAAAACCACTAAAATATGTTTCCAAAGATGATCTGAACTAGTTCCTCCAATCATTTTCTTTTAAGTCCAGTTTTTATAAAGAATTACATAACGGTAAAAAATTAGGACTACAAACTAAAATGGACGACGATTTATACTAAACGAAGATAAAATTTCAACGGTAAATCTGTTCAAATACATGTATATGTTTGTATATAACTCACGTGATAAGGAACGTTATTGGTGATAACAACGTAAAATGAAGTACAATGTCACTACACGACCATACAATACATAAATGTTTTTGAAACTTATAATGTACGCTTAAATAATGGAAGGGAAAATTAAAAAAAAATGGTGAAAGAGTAGCGTGAAAAATTATCACAAAAAAGATCAAAGCAAAATTTCAGAAAATAGCGAAAAATAAAAGTACGGTAAGTTAGATCAAATTATAATACCTCAGTGTGTATTTTCTTTATAAAATTATGAACGAATAAATCAACTATTTTTACGAAATTGTCTGAAAAAAACTTTTGCTGGATATGAACTAGATACTGGAAGCAAACACTTTACTGTTAAAAGACTGTTAACCGGTTAATAGTTTCAAAAATTATTAACCTGTTAATAGTCTTTTTACTTCCGCTTCATTCAAAATTGATTGTATACCAAAAGTATTTCATTTGGAACATTTGTGACCGCTGTAGCATACAGAGAATAACCCTGCATTGTTCTTAAACATATACATGGTCCTTTCGGTATGATAAAACACTTATTTACTGGCTATTCGTACAATATCAAGTTTATTATCCCCCTTGACACAAACGTAAAATAGTTTTTGTCACGGATGACAATAAACTTAAGCTTGCTATTGTCCTCATAGCCAGTGTATACAATTGACCGTCAGTTCAACTACCGAGACGATTTGCAGCTTACGGTATATTTTTAATGATACAGTGCGTGGTCATAAGTATTCGTCACTTGCGATTTTTCACTATAAATTTAATATTAAAAACACGTTTTTTTTTAAAAAATATTGTGGGGTCATTTCTGGATGGATTGTGGCCAACTTGGTACATGGCCATGTACTGTATATCATTATAAAAACGATAATTTTAATACATATAACGGCCTATAAAAATAAAAGCACCGGGATAGGTTTTTAAGAAATATTTATTAAAATGAAGAGGGGTGGAAGGACCTTTTTCGGGAATTTGGGATTGAACCGTTTAATGAGCGGGATTTACGGAATAGCTAGTTAAATCGGCTACATTAGCGTGAATTTTCATTTTTACAGGTATTACGTTTGCGCGAATTTAACTGTAATTTACCCGAGTTTTTACATGTGTTTTAAACCTAATAAATATGAAATCAGAGAAGTCTTTATTATTTGAATTGAAATTTTTCCTTGTCTGTTTGTTTCACAAGCTTTGGTACTGCTAGACTCAAGCTAGCAGCCACTCGCTAGCAGCCACTCCGCTAGCAGCCAGTTTTCAGATATGTCTATAAACCCAAAAGTTGCATAAGACTCTAACGTCTGAAAACTTTTTAATTTATATAACCACTACAATATCTGTTTTAACTAGAATTTAGCAGTCGAAAACACTTTTCACTGAATTTTGAAATTCCATTTTCTGTTCAATATTTTAAAAACATGAAATTATCGAAATGTTAGCCAAATTGTCTTGTTACATGGTATTAAAGACTTCTCCATCAGAAAATATTTGTGCGATATTGTGTAAAATAGCTTTCCATATTCTCGGCATCCTGTAAAATAGTTCCTAAAAAGAAACAATATTTCTACGCCACAAGAATACAAAGCTGCGTACGTACTTTAATATTTTCTTGTCAGACAAATCTGCTTTGACGAATCATTCTCTTTTTGCAACAATTGATATCGCTTAGTTTTTATTACTTGAAGGGTTTTTTTTTAGTAACTAAAGTATGGTGTGCAAGGAAATTAATAATTAGCTTTATTACCTTTTTTTTAAATATCTGAGCTATACCCCACCTGGATATTGTAGTCAAGCATGCCTAAGGGTCCCAACTTTCGTTTGCACCTAGTGCAGAAAAAGTATTGCCGTAGGAAATCTTTTATCAGCTTTGAAAGTTAGGGTGGGTAGATTGTCGGACCCCAACTTTGGACCAATTTTTGAATGAGGATTGAAAGTACGTTGCTTGAAAAATGTCCTGAATTAACTGCCAACTAGATAGTTGCAAGAAAGAGGACCATCAGAGTCGCTACCCGCATAGTCCAGGAATCAAACTTATTTCAAATATATGGCGACTAAATCAAAAAGCAAGAGAAACGTGGTTTCATTGAAAAGTTAGGCGGAATGGAAGAAGACGAGCCACAGCACATTCATAACATCCCGCATCATCCCGTAAAGAAAGATTCCACGACTATTCCGATTAGAGTTGTGTATGCTTATAGTTGTAAAGAGAACGAAAAGAGTCCGAGTTTGAAGTTAGCAATATCCTTTAACTCTACGTTCCGCTATATAGATGATGTTCTCTCACTAAATAATTCAAAATTTGGTAACTATGTTGAACGAATCTATCCCATCGAACTAGAGATAAAGGATACTACAGATACAGTTAAGTCTGCCTCATATCTTGACTTACATCTAGAAATTGACAATGAGGGTCGGTTGAAAACAAAACTTTACAACAAAAGAGATGATTTCAGCTTCCCAATTGTGAACTTTCCATTTCTATGTAGCAACATTCCAGCAGCGCCTGCATACGGAGTATATATCTCCCAATTGATACGATATTCCCGGGCTTGTGTTTCCTATCATGATTTCCTTGATAGAGGATTGCTGCTCACAAGGAAGCTATTAAACCAAGAGTTCCAAATGGTGAAGTTGAAGTCATCCCTTCGTAAATTTTACGGACGCCATCACGAGTTGGTTGACCGTTATGGAATAACCGTTTCATAGATGATATCGGATATGTTCCTTATGTCGTAACTACAATACCCTTCCCTTTTCACGAATGTGACTTACCGAATTAGACTATTTACCGGATTTGTAATAACATAAGCAACTCGACGGGTGCCACATGTGGAGCAGGATCTGCTTACCCTTCTGGAGCACCTGAGATCACCCCCAGTTTTTGGTGGGGTTCGTGTTGCTTAGTCTTTAGTTTTCTATGTTGTGTCATCTGTACTATTATATGTCTGTTTGTCTTTTTATTTTTGGCCATGACGTTGTCAGTTTGTTTTCGATCTATGAGTTTGACTGTCCCTCTGGTATCTTTCGTCCCTCTTTTTTGAATGACTGTCTTTACTCAAATCAACCAATTTCAAATGATATAATCTAAATACTTACCAGATTTAAGTTTGCAGTAACAACAAACATTGAAAAGGCATTTCTGCAAGTTAAACTTTATAAATCAGACCGTGGTGTTATTCGCTTCTTTTTGTTAAGTGACTCAATAGATGCAACCTGTCTTTTTACAACTTATCGTTTCAAAGGTCGAAGAATAAGAACACTCCCGTATCCTTCAAATGATCTCAGGGACCTTAAAGACACTACTACAAACATGTACTCATGCACTAAAGCGTAATCAACAACACCAGGAGTTAATACAACACTTTCGGACGAGATGGAAGAAGGAGTACCTATTATCACTACGGGAATTCCACAGAGCCAGTGTAAATAATCTACAGAGAATAAAGATCGGACACACCGTACAGATTAATGATTACTCGACTAGAACTCTATGGAACATTGGTATCATAGGGGACCTTGTGCGCGATGGAGATGGTTTGCTGAGATTAGCAATAGTGAGTATATAAGAGATAAATTTGGACTCAACATTAGACCGATCGTCAAACTTTACCCACTAGAGATAAATTTTAATGAGACTGATGAATCTTAAATACGTACAAGGAGTTCTCGTTTACCAAACCGTTATTAGAGACTGCAATATAACAGAGAATAATTTTTAAACGCAACTTGATTCAGTGATAAATTTATATGGGATTCATGGACTGTAAAGTTTCAGTAATGCTCTATCTTTTCTTAGTTTCGATACATTGTTCAATTAAACTTTAATTGCATTAACTCGCAGCCCCAGGTTTGTTGAGGATAAATAGAGATTTTCATAGTTATCGCGGGATATAAAAAACCTTTGCACCTTTTGTTTGCGGTATACCATCTTTTCCGCAAGTTTATTGTTTTCTGTTTAGTATTTAATTTATAATTAAGATCCATTTATTACATCGGTGATCCGTTTATTTGGCAATCGCCATTGGCAGTCAGCAGGGTTTAAGAACATCAGTTGTTCGACCTGCTAGTCCAATGCGTTTTGTTAAAATATACTTTTTCACTCATTTGGTCGTTTGGAAAATGTTGTTTGTGCTGTATTTAGACACCAGAAATTTATTTTGCATGCACACGTATAAAAATTGCGGTTTTTATCCAACGCAATCATAGGTTTGAACGTTGTTTTCAATTTAGACTTGTTTATATATATATATATATATATATATATATATATATACATGTTATTAAACGCGTTAGCGCTGTATATGTAACGTCATGGTATCTATGTGTAATTTGTAAACGTGATTGTCATCCATCATTCAATCATTTATTTTTACAGACGTCTTTTTCTAATTAATATAAACACTACGCATTCTAATCTGTTTTAATGTCACACGGTTTACGTCTTAGCACCAATTAGTTCTCCAGCACACTCATCCTTAAACATTCCAATAATTTTCTTGTTGACCTTAGTCTTGATTTTGGATTTATGGTCAGTCGGGTAGTTTGACATTTCGAATCGCTAATGCACATTTTTATATATGTCTTTGTAAATGTGTGTGGTCTGAATATTGCAAACGAGACTGTCAGTTTCTGTGTAGTAAATCGTGGCTCGTATTGGGGTTTGAGTAGTCAGATACAAAGTCAGTCATCAATGTTTTAAACAGGTTCAAAATTAAAAAACCTAGGTAGATCGCATTGTCAAATACCAAATTGGTTCGTTTCATGTGGTTTGCAGCAAATTATTCGCTAAATATAGTCTGTTTCTTGAAATTGGGTTTGGTCTAATTTTAATGCCGGTTTTTTTAATGCTTTTTCCAAACACTGAGTGGTTCGTCCTCCTATAGAA